AGCAGCGGCAGCCTCTTTAGTGCGTCTCTAGCTCCGTGGCTGCTCCCGTCTGCTTCTGCGTCTGGCCCAAGTAGAGCAAGGAGGACAGTAGGAGCTTGAGTTGCTGCTGCTGTTGCTGCTGCTGCTGCTGTTGCTGCTGTCTCCGCAGGCTTCGCAGACCTCATTCAGCCCAGAGCAAAGCGCAGCGCCAAAGAAGACTCATTATTCCCTCCTCGTGAGTTGCTGTGTCTGCATTTCTGCAGAGTCTCCTGTCTTTGTTTTAAATCTTTATGTTCAGACTTTTGCTTATTTGTTTCCATTTATTCAAATCATTTCTTTTTTTTTTCGAATTTCGCGCCAAAGGACTGGCTGGAGGGGCCCCGGGGGGCCCTCATGCTGCTGCTGCGCTGTGGTGTTTTGCTGCTGCAGCGGGCGGGCGCTCCCGCCGCGGCAGCAGCCGCCAGGGCCCTCTCCAGCCAGAGGGACTCCTGGGGGCCTCCCCAGGGGGCCCCCCGGGGGGCCTCCCGGAGCCCCTTGGGGGCCCCCAGGGGGACTTGGAGGACGACGAAGAGGGTTTTGTTTCCCCTTTCTTTCAGATGACCGAAGAGACCCCTGAGGAGCCCCTTGGCCCCGCTGAGGGGCCCCTTAGCCCCGCTGAGGGGCCCCAATATGCTGAAGAGGAAGATGGGGGGCCCCCAGGGTACTCGGGTCAGGAGAACCCGCTGCTTAGCTCTCTGCGGGCCCGGCGGCAGCGCCTGGCCCGCAGGGCCCGGAGGGCCTCTATGAAGCAGCTGGGGCCTCAGGGGGCCCCCGCTGATTCTTTGACCCTTCCTGGGGGACTCCAGGGGGCCCCGCAGGGCCTCTCAGGGCAGCAAAGCGGGGAGCCAGCCCCCAGGCTCCCTCAGCAGGCAGCTGTGGCCCTGGACCTGCCTCCTGGGGGGCCCCTCGAGGCCAGGGGGCCCCCTGAGGGCACAACTGCGGGGCCTCAAGAGCAGCAGCCCACGGCTCCAGGGCCCCCAGAGGATCTCCCGCTGGGCCCCACAGACAGCCCTGCCTGGGCAAGGGAACAGGCAGAGGCCCCCTTCAGGAATGGGGGGGCCCCCTTCACGGAAGGGGGGGCCCCCTTTAGGGAGGAGGGGGCCCCCTTCGGGGATGTGGAGGCCCCCTTCGGGGAGGTGGGGGCCCCCTGGGTGTCTGCAGCGCAGGAAAGAGGGAGGACGCTCTCTGTGCGGAGCGCACTCTCGCACGCTCGCCGAAAAGCAGCAGCAACAACTGGTGCTGCTGCTGCTGCTGCTGCAGCGGGGGGCCCGCGGGGCCCACGGCCGGGCAAGCAGCTAGTTGGCCGCCCGGCCGGAAAAGCTGCAGGCCGTGGCTCTGGCCTGCAGCTCCCAAGGCGGGGCCCCCAGAGAGAGACAGAGGGGCCCCAGGAAGCAAAAGCTGGAACGGCAGCAGCAGTGCTGCACCCTCGCAGCAGCAAGGGCCCCAGAAAGTCTGATATACTTTTGCTGCCACCCGAGAGCAGGGCTGGGGGGCCCCCCTCCGAGGAGGGGGGCCCCCGCCCTGTGCGCTCGCTTGCTGCGCTGCGCAAGCTGCTGCAGAAGCAGCAGCAAGCCAGCAGTGGGAAACAGCTGCTGCAGCGCAGCACAAAAGCAAAAGGCAGCAGGGGCCCCTCTGAGAAAAAGAAGTAGCAAAGCGGCCCCACGTGGCTCCATTTTTGTAAACACTTAGTGTCAAGTTGTCCCTATGAATGTTATTTTGTCTATTTTAAATGTAGTTTTTTAAAAGTCTACACCTAGCAAAGAGGGCCCCCCAGGGCTTAAGAGGGGCCCCCTACGGACTGCAGCAAAAGCGCACAAGAAGTGCGTGCTGCGGTTGACTTTGAGCAGCAGCAGCAGCAGCAGCTCCTGTTTGGAGTGCGCCAGAGCAGCAGCAGTTGGTGTTGCTGCTGCTGCAGCAGCAGCATATGCTTCTGCAGCAACGCCCCTAAGACACAAAGGCGGGGCTAAGAGCTTGTTGTTTTAGCTCAGAAACTTGGCGCTGCTGAGGGGCCAGAAAGGCAAGGTGCGTGGCCCCGTGGAGGCTCCAAACGCTATACCATAGCCCGTAAACCCTAAACCCTAGCTTCTAGACCCTAAACCCTATCTTTTAAACCCTAGCCCGCCAACGCCCAGCATAGGCTTATCTTGCGTAAGTAAACGTTTCTCTCCTCAAAGCCTCTTAGGCAACTCCCATTGGGGCCCCGCAAAAGGGGCCCAGGTGGCTTTTTTCTATTTTTTTTCATGGGTAGATTAGACAAGCAGTTTCTGCAGCAATTGCCGCCAAGTGTAGACATTTTTGATTATGGTGGAGCTGCAACGCAGCAGTGAGTGCTAAGAATTAGATTTGGGGCGCTGCAGTGAGGGTTGGGGGCCCCTTAGGGCCCCGCCGGGAGACTGGGGGCCCCCAGGAGACCCCCAGGCCCTCAAGTCTTAAACATGGAATGAGGCTGTGAATGAGATTACCGCCATTACATGCGTACCCTCGCAATGTTGCAAAGGAGTCTGCAGGAGCTTATCTTTATTCTTTTTTCAATTCTGAAACAAATGAAGCTTTACTAGCCTTACAAACGGCCTTCTAAGCTCGCCAAACAAATGGCATATAAGCTACCACTGAAGCGATGAAGAGGAACCAACCGCCACAGCGCCGGGCCCCATCAGTTTACCCCGCGAAGCCAAAAGAAAGATATTAAAAACTCCATTTCTAGCTAATTAAATGGAACAATTTAAATTCAATAATTTCTTCGAAGGAGCTGACGAAGGCGGCGGCAGTGGCTGTGTCTGTGGCGTGTGGGTCATTTTCCTCGCCTTTTTCTCCCTTTTACCTTTTTCGGGATCTAAGAACTCGAAAATGGCATTAAATAGCATTTAATTTGTTCTATTTACTGGCATTCTAGAGAAAATGGCGCATTTGAATTGACGCAAGAGCGAAGGGATATAGAGGCGCATCGATGAGCTGGTCTGGTGACTGGGCGCGGCTTCAAACCGCGTGGCGCCTCGCGGCGCAGGGGTTCGATTCCTCCTTCGGTGCGGCAGAAAGTGAGATCCCAAGAAAAAGGCAAGTGGACAGTTTACTGCAAAAGACACTAAAACGCGAAACTTCATTTACAAGTATTAAGGTATGCAATGCTACATTTAGGACAGGCTGCTGCCACACTCAAGCGGTTATAATAGTAAAGACCACTGTATGCAACAAATATATATATGTTGAAGAAGTACAATTTAATATTGTAGAAAGCACTTGAATAAAATCAAATACGCTCTTATAATGCAGAATACCTTGCCAAATAAGTACATGCACATGCAGAACGGGCTAACTGCAGCGCAGCATTTAAGAAAGTTCTCTGGGGAGTTTAGAGCTGGCGGCACTGGCCCAGCTTTTGGGTCTTGTGCAGCTTCTCGAGGCCTTTCGCTCTTTACGGGCTTCAATTCTATGCAGCAAAGCCTGCTGCTGCAAAAAAAGCTAACATAATATATTAATAATAATACATTAAGCAAAGAGAAATGAAAGCCCAGGTAGAACCCGAGAGAGACAAAGAAGGAAAAACAATGAAATCAAGACCGGCTCTGGGACTATGCCCTGTTCAGCTTTCTGGGGGCCCCTGGGGGGCCCTCCTAAGGGCCCTGGGTGGACCTCCTTAGGGTCTTCGGGGGCCCTCCTAAGGGCCTCTGGGAGTCCTCAGGAGGGCCCCCAGGGGCCCCCGTGACGCCGCAGCCTCAGCTGCTGCCTCTAGAAAAGCTGAGAGCTTTAGACGGGGCCCCCACAGCTGCGGCACGTGCAAGGCGCTGGCAAGCCCAAAGGCCCAAACCCTAAACCCTAAACCCTAAACCCTCTCGCCACACACTAGGTACTTAACAGGAAGCTGCACTGGGTGCGCGCGGCGCTTATAAGTGCATGCAAAACGAGTGGGTACTGCTTTGCTGGCTTTGGTGAGGGCCCCGGAAGCAGCGGAGGCCCCCCTGAGACAACACGGGGGCCCCAGGGGCAGCAGGAGCCCCCGCACAAGAGGGGCCCCCCACTGAGGGAGGGTACGCAGAGGGTCTTGTCTTCTGTGTCTTTCGTTTTTCTCTGTTGGGTCTCTGAAGAGACTTTTGTCTCAGCGGAGCAGCAGCAGCAGCAGCAGCTGCTGCTGCTGGTCAGGCGAAAGGGGGGCCCTGCGGACGCAGCAGCAGCAGAGGCTCACAGAGGCACGCTGGAGAGTTTTGGCTGGCAAGTAGCAGCAGCAGCTGCTGCTGCTGCTGTTGCTCTCAGCCGCAGGCTGCATGCAGAAAGTCCCAAGGCACCCGTAAGTCGCACGCTAGAGCACTAGGCGCAGCAGCAAATCGCTGCAGCACTGCTGCAGCAGCGAAGGCTGCAGCACTGCAGCACTGCTGCAACAGTGAAGGCCGCAGCAGCAAGCAGCAGACATTGCCAAACGCACGTCGGAGACCTCAGGCCGCAAATGGAACTCTTCGTAAGTCCGCGCGCAAATCAAGTAATGCACTATCAAGGGCGACGCGCTCCCTGACAAGCAGCAGCAGCAGCAGCAGCAACACCTCCAGCAGCAGCAGCAGCAGTCGGTGCAGCAGCAGCAGTCCTTGCAGCAGCAGCAGCAGAAGTGGCTGCAACACGGGAAGCGTTTGCCCGCAGCCCACAAGTACAGGAAACCCCCCCAACCTCGAGCTACCCGCGTTTGCACGCCCAGGGGTGACACCACCAACAGCAGCAGCAGCAGCAGCAGAAGCAGCAGCAGCAGCAGCGGGCGGCAGTTGCCTCTGCGCCTACCGACAGACATCAGTCTCTGCTCTACAGCGCTCGTGAAGGCTGCGCATCCCTGGGGAACCTCTGGAGCAACAAGTGAGTCCCCCGAAGTACCAGCCTGCTCGCTGCTGCTGCTGCTGCTGCTGCTGCTGTTGCTGCTGCTGCTGAGTGCAGGGGCCAGCCACACCACCTGGCGAAGGCCAGCAAACATGTGGGGCGGCAGCAGCAGCAGCAGCTCCAGGTCCTCGACCAGCAGCACCTGGGGAGAAGCAGCACACAGCGATTAGGCGGCCTTGGCTACCAGCAGCGCGAGCTGCTGCTGCACCAAAGAGCTGCAGCAGCAGCAGCAGCTGCTGCAGCGAAGCTGGAAACAAGCAGCAGCAAAGGGCAGCAGCAAGGGGCCACAAACCTGAACCTGAGAAAGGCAAGCCCTCTTAAAGTCCCGCAGCTTCTGAGTTGCTGCCAGCGCGCTGTCGCCTTTGTCTATGCACAGCGGCCGCGGCAGCAGCAAATCCCGCAGCAGCAGCCCCATGCTGCTGCGGGGCCCCACAGTGAGGGGCAGAGGGTTTAGCAGCAGCACTTTGGCCCGCAGCGCCTCTTCTCGAGACACGCCGTCCTCCGACCGCTCGGGGGGCTTCCGGCCTGCTGCTGCTGCTGCTGCTGCTGTTGCTGCTGTTGCTGCTGCTGCTGCCGTCCGCAAGTCCTCCAGGTGCTGGCACAGCCACCTGCGCCATACAGAGCCAGCAAAGCCCAGCAGCAATACAGCAGATGCTCCTGCAGCTGCGGAAGCAAAACAGACCAAGCGAAGTCGCAGCTTCAGCTGTTGCTGCTGCAGCAAATCAGCAACAGCAGCAGCAGCAAGAGCGTGCACGCGCAGCCGCCGCTGCAGGAGCGCGTTTGTGCGCCAGCGCAGCAGCAGAGCAGCAGCAGAGGGAGCCTCACGTGAGCTTGCTGCTGCAGCGGACCATGTGCTGCTGCAGCAGCTGCTGCTGCAGCAGCCCCAGCTGCAGCGCCACATGCGCAGCTTCCCACTGCCTCCACCTGCACACCCGCCGCCGCAGCGCCTCCTTTCGCTGCTTGCTGCTCAGGCTGCGGCCGATGGGCACTGCGACGGCCAGGGCCTCCAGCAGCCGCTGCAGCAACGCAGCAGCACAGCAGCGCAGCAGCGCGGTGCAGCGGCGGCAGCAGTGCAGCCAGAGGCGCAGCAGAAGCAACAAACAGCACGCAGCAGCTGCCCATTGGCTTGAAAAGAGACGCAAGAAACTGCTGCGCACAGCCCAGGGCCTCCATGCCGCTGAGCTGCTGCGAACTGCCACTTTGCTGTAGCTGGCTGCAGCAGCAGCAGCAGCTGCTGCTGCTGCTGCTGCAGTAACAGCGCCGGTCCCGGCAGCAGTCCAGCGTAACAGTCAACGAGCGGCTCACCCCCACTCTAGGGCACAAGCTGCGGCAGCAGTAGCAGCACCAATAAATGCAAAGGTGAAGCAGCATTTTAGCAGCAACAGCACTAGCAGCAGCAGCAACAGCAGAAGCACCGCCAGAAAGGACCCACCTCGAGCAGTTCAGGTGTCACTAGAGGCATGTCTCCCTCTGCTGGGTCGGCAACGTCATCTATGCTGCTGCTGCTGCTGCTGCAGCTGCTGCTGCTGCTGCTGCCGCTGCTGCTGCCGCTGCTGCTGCTGCTGCCGCTGCTGTTGCTGCCGCTGCTGCTGATGCAGGGAGCCACAAGCGCAGGGTGCAGGCAAACAAGCCTCATGGCCTCTACAGTTTTGGCAGTGATGGTTTCGACGTCTCCGCCGGCCCCAGCGAAGAAGTCGGATTCTGCTGCTGCTGCTGCTGCTGCTGCTTCTGCTGCTGCGGAGGGGGCAGCTCCTGCAGCAGCCAGCAGGCCCTGCGCGCATGCAGCTTCAATTGCTGTGTACTGCTGCGCCTCATAGGAAGACAGCCGCAGCAAATGGACTTGCCGCTGCAGCGGCGGCAGGTCCTGCAGCAGCACGGAGCTGCGGGACCTTCTAAGGATGAGAGGAAAGACGCAGCTACGAGCAAACGCCAGTGCGGCTGCTGCTGCTGCAGCAGCTGCTGGTGCTTGCGGGGCTGCCGCTGCTGCTGCTGCTGGCGGTGCTGCTGCTGTTGGTGCTGCTGCTGCAGTTGTTGCTGCTGGCGGGGCTGCTGTTGCTGCTGCTGCTGCACTGGCAGCTGACGCCGCTTCACACTGAGACAGCTGATCCACTGCAGCAGCACTTCTGAACACCCCCGGCAGCAAATGCGGCAGCAGCAGCCGCAGGGCGGAGTAGTGGCTGCTGACGGCGTGGCTGCGCAGGCACAGCAGCAGCACAGCTGACCCCTAAACCCTAACTGCTGCAGCAAACCCTTTTCTAGGCTCTCAGCTGCGAACTCTCGGCCCCAGGGGGCCCTCGGGGGCCCCCCAGGGGGCCCCCAGAACAGCCACTAGGGGGCCGCAAGGAGGCCCCCAGGGGGCCCCTAGAAAGGCTCCTAAAGAGGCCTGTGAAGGCTGCGGGGAGGCCTCGCGGGAAACCCCTGGGGGGCCCCTGGGGGCCCCCAGGGAAGCCCCTAGAGGGCCCTTGGCGAGGCCCCTACGGGGGCCGGCCCCCCTAGGAGACCCCTGGGGGCCCCTTGGGGGCCCCTTGGGGGCCCCTTGGGTGCCCCTAAGGGGCCCCTTGAGGGCCCCTAAAGCTTTTTCATGTGCGTCTCTGCACCTCCTGCCTAGCAGCGGTGCTGCTCACTCTGTAATAATCAGCTTCCTAATAGTCTGGGAGGGGTTGGGGGGCCCCTCTTCCGAGGGGCCCCCTTGCTGCTGGGGGCCCCCCTGCTCTGCTGCTGC